CCCCCACTCAGTTGCAGGCAGGTTCTGTACTGTCTTTATCACTAATTTTGTTGAAGAAAAGACACAGCCTAATAAGGAAGACAAATTGTTTCTGCTAGTTGAGTTGAGGATAGCTATACAGAAATATTCCTAGCATTGCTTTTGTGTACACATGTGTTATGACCCATGTTAATTCATCTCTAACTGATTTTTACACTGGTTACTGATCCCCTTCTCATGATAACCTCTGTTGCTTTAAGGTTTCTGTATTAGCTCCTCTGGAGTGCGGACATCAAACCTTTCAGGCTTCCTGTACCTATATGAGCATAGTTTTCTCTAGATTTGGGAAATTTTCTCTTATTATTTTGTTGAGTATATTATGAGTTCCTTTTGCTTGCATCTCTTCTCCTTCTTCAGTGCTCATGATTCTCAGGTTTGGTCTTTTGATAGAGTCAGTGAGTTCTTGCATTTTCTTTCACAGGTCTTGAGTTGTTTAACTAGTAGATCTTCAGTTATTCCTTTAGTTGCCGTTTCATCTTCAAGTTCTGAGATTCTGTCTTCCGTTTGTTCTATTCTGCTGGAATGGCCTTCCATTTTGTTTTGTATTTCTGTTTCATTCTTTTTTCTGAGGTTTTCCATATTGTGGGTTACTTCCTCTCTAATATTGTCAATTTTTGTCCTTAATTAGTTTATCTCTCTGTTTATGGTGGTCTCAGTTTCAGTTTGGTGTTTATTTAGGGCTTCTATGATTTGATTTATTTGTTTCTGGGTTTTCTCATATTCTTTGTTTTTGTTGTCTTGGAATTTCTTGAGTGCCTCCTGTACATTTTGGTTGACCATGTCTAGTAACATCTCTATGAAATTCTCATTAATTACTTGTAGGATTTCTTCTTTCAGAGTGTTCTTGTGGGCTTCGTTGGGTTTCTTGGTATAGTTTATCTTTGTTTTGTCAGAGTCTGGATCTGGGTATCTGTTTTCTTCATTTCACTCTAAATCCTGTACTACTTTATTTTTAGGGGGAGAATGGTTTCCATCCCTTTTTCTTCTTCCCATATTTCTATTGGGTACCATTTCTGTCCCTGGACTATGTGTAATTTAGTATTAGCTGGGTTGCAATATTAACACTAACAAAACCAAGAGAGAAGGGTAAAAAAGAGAAAGAAAAGGAAAGATAAAAGGAAAAGAGAAGAGAGGAAAAAAGAAAGAAAAAAAAATGGGAGAGATGGTGGGTGATCAAACAGAAAACCAGGCAGCCAAATCCTTAAAGAAGGGAGAAAGAAAAAAAAAAATGGGAGAGATGGTGGGTGATCAAATAGCAAACCAGACAGCCACACCCTTAAAGAAGGGAGGGGAAAAAAAAAAGAAAAAAGAACAATAATCACCAGTTCTGGAACAGTAAAATTGCAGGCAGTCTTAGTTGTTCTGTTACCTTTGGCATCCAATACTGTTTGTGTGTCTGTTAGGCATGTTTGGAGCCATCTAGTGGTGGCCCGAGCAGGAGCCTGGTGGAGCAGTTATCTGGAAAGCCTGTGGAGCTGGGGCCTGGCTTCTTTGGGGCGGGGATCCCTGCGGGCTAGGGGATGCAGTTGTTTCACGCCAAGCTGGCCTGAGGGGTGGGGGAATCCAGAGGCAGGGGTCCCAGCAGGGTGTAGATCCTGCACGGCCCAGAAGGCGGAGAACCAGGCATGGATCTGGTTGTCCCAAGCAGAGCTGGGGTCCAGCAGAGCCTAAGAGGTGGGGGAGAGAGGGGATCAAGGGGTGGAGGTCCCAGCAAGGCGTGGATCCCGTGTTGCCGCAGAGGTGGAGGTCCTGGCGGGGCATGGATCCGGCATGGAGCTGTGGCCTGGTGCAGCCCAAGGGGCAGAGAGCCAGGCGGAGTGGAGCAGCAGCTCTGCAGGCCTATGGGGTGGGGACTTGGCAGGCCGGCTGTTCTTTTATTAGATCGTGGAGTGGAAAAGCCTTCCGTGATCTAAGGAAGGCACTCTAAAGTGCTGTATTTTTGGCTCTGTCTGGTGCTTTACCACAGCCAAGGGTGACTCTAGCGTCTCGCACAGGGTCCCTAGTTCAGGAGCTCAGGAGGTCTGAGGCTCTGTCTCAGTCGCCATCTTGAATCATCTCTTGTCTTTCTTCTTGAAGGAACATTTCTCTTTATATTTTTAAATTGGAATGAATACACAATTCATTTTTCCAAATATTTAAAGGGAGGTCTTTCTCAGTTTCTGAATCCTAATTTGCCACATGGATTGAAGCCACCTTCCCCAAACTGTCTTGCATGTTAAGAGGGCTATGGGAGGGAGGAGTATTATTCTGTTTTGTCTGGTTTTATTGCTCTGTAAAATTAGCACAAATGTAGCAGCTTACAACGTCCGTTTATTATCTCACAGTTCTGTGGGTCAGAACTCTGGAGATCACCTAGCTGAATCAGTTTCTTCAACGTTTTACACAAGGCTTCAATCAGGTTTTTGCCCAGGACTGGAATCTCTTCTGAAGCTTATCTGTGAGATATCTTTTTCCAAGTCAGGTGGCAGAATTCAGTTTCTAAAGGACTATTGGACCCTTCAGTTCCTAGTTGGTTACTGGCCAAAAGATGTCCTCAGTTCTGTGTCACATGAGCTCTAATAGGGTCATGCGCTTCATCAAAGTGTGAAAGCTGAGAAGGCAATACACTGAGTTGGCTAGCAAGATAGAAATCACAGTAATGTAACATAATCAGACATGACATCCCATCCCCTTTGCCATATTCCACTGGTTGTAGGCAAGATGCAGGCCATACCCACACTTGTGGGAGGTGGATTACACAAGGGTATAAAAACCAGGAGGCAATGATCACTGAAGACCATATTAGATGGACCTTCCTCTGCCATAGGAAGGGAAGAGGGAAGGAAAGAAGGGAGAATGGAAGGAAAGAGAGGAAGGGGGGAAGAAGAAGAGAAGAGGAAATGTGCTCAATTAAAGCTGAAAACCACTACATATTAGGACACATTAGAAATGCTAAGAAATCCTCTTAAATTCTATGTAATCTAATACTATTCAAAAACTTTGCAGTACAGGAAAACTTGAGAAACACTGAATTGTAGAGCAACATTTATTTTCTTTTTATCCAAAAGATGTGGATCCTGAAACTGAAGGCTTGTGAATATATCCTTGGAATCTAAAAAATTCTGTATTTATAAATTTCAATGACAATTTTAAAAATTAAGAGAGGCAATGAGTGAGCCCTCTGAATGATCACTTTTTAAAAATACATTTTTATTAGCATATATTAGTTGTGTAGTGGGGGATTCGTTGTGACATTTCAATATATGCTTACAATATGCCTCAGTTGGGTTCACCTCCACTATCCACCTTTGTAGCTAAGTACTGCCATGAAATTTTATGTTTCAATAGGTATGGATGCACTTACTGTCACATTGGCACCAGTTGTTATTACATTACAATAAATGATGTGGATAAAATTATAAATAATATATTAAGCAAAGGCTACAACTCATCACATACACTAAGATTTTATAGTAGCTTCAATCGAGAAACACTGGTAGAATACATTATTGCACAGCAAGGTACTTTAAGGAATGCTAGCTCAAAAGATTCTGGTCTGCAGTCAGGCATCATGGTACACATATGTTATTCTTGCACTTGGGAGGATGAGGCAGATTGTGAATTTGAGGCCAGTCTGAGCTAACCAGTAAGACTCAGTCTCAAAGACAAAAACAAAAAATACCAAAAAAATTTTTGTCCAGGTCAACTAGTGGTAATAATATTTATGTGGAATCTGGTGTTTTATTTTAAGCAAAATAGCATCAACCATTTCATTAATATTATTAATTTGAATGTAGTTGGTTTTATGGTTTTGCTTTTACTTAATCTTGTAAAATGGATTTATATTATACTTGTTGATATTACAAAAATAAAATATACATGGTTTTATGATTATAAATATGGAAGAAAATTACAGCAAAAGTAATTTGTCAACACTGGAACTTCTTGGGGGAATATTTGCTTTAACAGATAACCATAAAGATTGAGCAATACTGTCTCCTTATTCTAAGTGTTTATTAGTAAACACTTCGATAATGCTATCCCCTAGTTTGACTAATCTATTTTATAGAGGTAAAACAGACATCAATTTGATGTCTCTTCTTCCTTCACAGATGTGCTTTAGATCGCTGTGTCTTTGCCCTTTGGTAGACTGGGGGAGGATGGGAGGAGCTGTGACTTTCCAGTCCCACCTTCCATGTGAGCTGTTATCACTAGTGGGCACTTACTGGATCCTAATACTTACTAGGTATATTATAAGGAAAGGACCTTACCAGGTCTGGATTTTGTAGTTTCACAACCTAAAATGTGACCCCCAAATCATCATGCTCTGAAGGGCCTTTGTGTTGCTATTTTTTCTAAAGTTGTATAGGAAACCCTCCTTTGTAGAAAACATAATGTAAAGATCTTACCCAAAAATCAGAGAAAAGTAATTACTCTAAATACAAGAACACCTAACGTCAGTTAAATGGGAAGAAGTCTGGGAAGAAGCCAGGGAATATGGTATACATGCCTGAGTTACGTGGGAAAAGATTGCTCTGCGTGCCAATGAAACTCGGTATTTATGTCTGAGGACATGGATGTGCAGTCAAGGAATTTACTGTGATGTTGTAACAGAGGTACAAATAAGGGGCTGTGGAGAAGGGTGAGTTTTCTCAGAGGAGAATGGTAAGAGATGTCCAGTCTACTTTTAGGATCATCTGGAATCAAATGAAAAAGTAAAATAATTTACCCATCCCAAAAGACTATCCACATGTAATTCATGATTTTGGCTTTATATGGAAATCTGGCATTGAGACTCTTCCCTTTTCCCGAGACCACATTGTGTATATGGAGCCTCCCAATATGTAATTTGTCTTTGCACTCCTAAATATCCATGTGGAAACTACCTCCCCCACACTGCTCACTGAAAGCTGTTGGGTGTTCTGTGTTTCCATCCTTGAGGACAGAGGTAGCAGGCAAGACAGTGTGCTCTATCCTTCCAGGTGGCCCCCTGTTGTATGAGAACATCACCTTCGTCTACAACTCAGAGCAGCTGAACGGGACTCAGCGGGTTCTCCTGGATAATGTCCTGTCTGAAGAGCAGTGCCGGGAGCTGCACAGTGTGGCCAGTGTAAGAATGGGAGGAGAGGAGTCCCAGTGTGCTGGCCTGTCAAGAACCTGGAGGGTGGTGGTCTTGGTCTCCTTTGGATCCAAGGAAAAAGGCTGGGAATTTCACCTCTTTTATGAGAAGGACATTTGATTATAGAGGCACTTTCATAGTCTTTGGGTTGGGATGTTTTTAGTTTTTGAGGTATCATTTAAAACACCAAGTGACTTAATTCCTAGGACAAGCCACCCAACAAGTGACTCACCTTGGCATATAAAGTTGCTGGGGAAATCCATTTATTTTAATCAATAATTAACCAATATACAATTCATTTACATTCTATTTATTTCTATAAAAAGAGATAGTATTTTATATTGAAAATTTTAAATGAATATTAAATAAAGATATCTTTTTTGATTGGGGAATTCATTATACCTGGATACAGGGAGTAAAATGGGAATAGTTCTGAGTGTTGACTTTGGTTCTCACCCTTCTGGCAGCCAAAGTAAAAGCAAAGACTAGATGAATTCATACGAGTCATTGATAAAAGAATCCTCTTGTATTCTGCTTCAGGGAATCATGCTTGTTGGTGATGGATACCGAGGGAAGACATCACCGCATACACCCAATGAAAAGTTTGAAGGTGCAACTGTCCTGAAAGCCCTCAAAGTAAAGTCTTCACTCATTTGTGTTTGGGTTCCTAAGCATCATTCCAGAGGCTTTTGTGAATGGCTGTACAGGAAGGAGAAGGATTTAGAAGGGAGCAATTATGAAGTAGAATCTTTGCTGTGTTTTTGTGTGTTTGCTTTTGAGTACAAGGGATTGAATCCAGGGCCTCATGTGTCCTAAACATGTGCTTGATCAGTGAGCTCCATCCCAACCACTTTTCCTGTTTTAAATCATTCCTTTATTCAGTTATAAATTTGTCAAACTTTACATTTCCTAAATTTGTACCTGACAAAATGTACTCAACCACTGTTCTCTATGAGCTTGTGAACTCGTTATAAAAACATACCAAAACAAGTAATTCTTCTTTCCTGCAAGAAGCATCATTAGAGAGGAATGAAGAATGTATTATAAGGGAAGAGGGGAGGGGACGATTAAATTTTAACTTTCCTTCTATGATTCGGAAGAGCTTATTTCAATGACTCACTGTTCTAACCCAAATCCACAAGCCTGTGGTAGAACTCCCATTAGACTGCAAGCATTTGTTGCCCTTAACGCAGAGAAACTAAAGCAGATACCTTAAAGCAACTGAGGCCAATAGGAAAAGGGGACCAGGAGCTAGAGAAAAGGTGAGATCAAAAAGAATTAACCTAGAAGGCAACACCCACGCACAGGAAATTAATGTGAGTCAACTCCCTGTATAGCTATCCTTATCTCAACCAGCAAAAACCCTTGTTCCTTCCTATTATTGCTTATACTCTCTCTACAACAAAATTAGAAATAAGGGCAAAATAGTTTCTGCTGGGTATTGAGGGGGTGGGGTGGGGGGGAGAGGGAGGGGGCAGAGTGGGTGGTAAGGGAGAGGGTGGGGGCAGGGGGGAGAAATGACCCAAGCCTTGTATGCACATATGAATAAAAAAAAAAAAAGACAGCTTAAAGATGACCGTCCTCTATTGGCTTACTGTTTGTCTCAAGTCTATCAATCAACCCAGTGGTTTCCAATGATCTTATTTTGGTTTTTCAGTTTGGCTATGAAGGACGAGTGCCCCTGAAAAGTGCTCGTCTGTTTTATGACATCAGTGAGAAGGCCCGAAAGATCGTAGAATCCTATTTCATGTTGAACTCAACATTGTATTTTTCTTACACTCACATGGTCTGCCGAACAGCCCTGTCTGGTAAGATTTGAGAGCCTGTACTTGTTCCCTTCTGCTCACCAAGCAATGGGAAAGAAAACGACGCAAAACAATATTCTGTTGCATTTTACACTAATATTTTATGATTCTAGATTCCCCAAACAAGAGAAGTTTATGAACTCTTATTTTCCTCTTTTTCATCCCCTGCAGTTCCAGAAGACCCTTACTCTGCACACTGTCTCCAAATCTATTTCTCATAATTGCTGAAGTCATGCATATAATGCCTTCCTGGTGTAGATTTCTCTTTTCAAGGACCGATAACCTGGAAATTACAGTTGTCATGTCCACAAGCAGTGAGTGGAAGCATAGATGATCAAGAGATTATTTAATAAATGTTCTGTAAAAGGCAGAGACATTCTCACTCTCTGCCCATTGTTTCTTCTGCGTCTTCTCTTCCGCTCACTTGAATGGGAAGGAGATGACCCAGTAGACTTCCCACCTATGGAGTTTCATCTGAATCAAAAGTATTCATTTACATTTTTATGTCATCCTTATCCTTTTGCTATCCCACATGAAATGCAACCCACAAGATGCATGGAATTTATACATGTATGTTTTTATCAGAGAGTCTTTATAACTGAAGAGACAGGTGTGATTCGCTTAAGATTTCAGGTCAAGTCCATGTTCAAACCAAACCAGAATCTCTTGTCTGCATGCCCACTGTTCTTTCCTCTCCCCAGCATTTTTCTGTTGGAAGTTACTGCACATTCATCTCTCATTTTTCTGGCAGGTCAACAGGATAGAAGAAATGACCTCAGCCATCCCATCCATGCTGACAACTGCCTATTGGATCCAGAAGCCAACGAATGCTGGAAGGAGCCTCCTGCTTACACTTTTCGGGATTACAGGTACAGCCAGCACCTGCTTCAAACCCAAGCTTTTACCCAGCATTTATCAAAAGCCCACGGAAACTGGAAAGCTGCTCTGTTTTGCTTCCATAATGCCAATCTCTGTGAAGCAGAGAGTCTCAAGTAGTCTTCTGAAACAGCCATGATTACTGAGAAGTGATGGTCTCATTTTTAACTTAAAATCATGTGTACTTTGCATTTTATTAAGCAGAATATACACTTTGTAAATCACTTTGTTTAACTGATTTACGTGTTTTTGCATGTTTGTTAGTCTGAGGACACAAGGGCATGGTATCTCAACACGCATAGGGTCTTATCACATCACTTGTCCAATATTCATACCCATGCAGAACTATGTCTGTATTTTGTAAGAAACTCAGAATAAAATACTGTTTTATCATATGGCAGGATGTGTAGTATGTAAAGAGAAGAATCAGAAGTTGTAGTTATTGTGTATATTAGTGTATTAATTATAGCTCTACTGTGTTTTATTAAAAAACAGTTATTGAGCACTCTCTATCTGGAAGGCCAGGATAGAACACAAGGAGCTCTAATAAAAGGAAAAGGTCCTTTTGAGTTATTATCATATACAGGAAGAAGAAAGTTATAAATAATGAAGGTAGGTTTAGAGTGATCAATTAAATCTAGTTAGGTATTCTTTGAAGGAAGTGACATAAACTTTGAAATGTGATTAAAGTGTTGATGCAAATGGAATCAATGAATACTTTGGGGATATAACCCAAACTATTTCTGACTTTACCTTCAAGGGTTTAGAAGGTCATTTATTTCATATCTAATTCAATGACAACTTACTAATCAGGCTGGCCCATTCATCATAGTCTTTAGGATTCTACATTGATATTGTTGTAAGCATAAATCATCCTAGGGATGGCTTTCCCTTTTTTCTTATAGCGCACTCCTCTATATGAATGATGACTTTGAGGGAGGAGAATTCATTTTCACTGAAATGGATGCTAAGACTGTGACTGTAAGTAAACTTCTTCCTGCAAATTCATTTAGTACATTTTTCAGTCTTGCCACTTTTCCAAGAACTTAACAAATGTTGAATTTCAAATACTTCTGAGCTCAAAAATTCAAAGGGTGGAGAAAGTCTGAACAAGTTTATATATCATAAAATATTAGTATCTGTAAGCATCTTCTAGCCCCTTTTAAAAATGGGTAAATCAAGAAATAGAGATGTTAACAATTTGATAATGATCATATACGTAGTGTAGTCTTGGAACCAAAACCAAATTCTTCTGATTCTCTTGTCAAGTAGAAGTTGAAAACATAAAAACATCAATTCCTAGTCACTCAAGTCTAGGAGAAATCAAATGATTACACAAAGAGCCTTCAGGTTACCTGGTGTTCTACATGCTCGGATTGAGTATTAGCCTCCAAGTCCCTTATTTTCAAAATTACATATTTCGGTACACATAAGTATAAATATATATATGTATATATACATGCATCTGTGAATAAAAATAGATACTTGTAACTGAGTGTAAGTCATAAATCTTTGGCTCCAAATTGATATACACACTCACACATATATATATATATATATATCAAAAGTTAAATTCTACCACCGTCTTCCTAAGCAAACCAATGCCTGTGGTACTTAGCACCTAAAGAGGATCTTTTGATCTTTAAGTCAAAGAGCATACACAATGTTGTAAAAGCAGGTTTTACAACTTAAGAAATAATTTCATTATAAATAGATAATGAGATATCTTTTTTATGAGAAAAAGCAGTTGGGACATATATATGAAAAACTTTGAAGTCTTGGCATTATAAAAGTTATTTGTATAGCTTTTCCAGACTTTTATGCCTTTCAACTTATATCCTGTACACTTTTCTCAGTAGTGAAACATGCATGTTTCATTCATGACACATTACTGTGGAATAAGCAGGTGATACCAAAACCTGTTTTATTGGTTTTAAAGGGGATTCTTGTTAAAATTTCCCAGAAATGCAGTTATAATTTTTAAAATTCATTCAATTTCAAACAACAATGTATGTTTAAAAGGTCATTTGCCTCCCTTTTTGTAAAAAAAAATTAAAATTAATTATAATCTGGAAAATCAATCAAGATTGATGATTTGCATTGGAGACTAAAATTCCTATAGGAGAGTCTCTGTTTTGGAAGAGCTGTGTGTAGAAAGCATCTTATTTCTGAGCTCTCCCAACACTGAAACAGAGATAGAAAATGTTCACACAGTTTAAGGAAAGCAGGCAGGTGGTTGAAAAGATTTCTTTGTTTCTACTCCATCTAGCGGACAGATTTGGAAATGGTTTGAAAGAAGAGATATCCGCAGTACTGTGTGAATATTTAATTCATTGTTGACTGCAGGACAACTGCAATTCTGTTTTTTTGCCATGTGGAAGCATACACTATTCTCCTTTCAGATGTCTATAATTTTAAGAACTGAATTTAAAAGCACTGAATCTGACCTCCCAACAACAAAATAACCGAAAAATTGTGTTAAACAAAATTTTAATCCAAAAGCTGAGAAATAGTTTGTATTAATGCACAGGGAAGAGATATTAGGGCATTTCATAAAAAAATAAAGTTCTTACACAAGAATTGTAGGAATTCTTAAAATCATGGAATGCCAGTTCTTACCCCTTTTCCATCATAAATTTATTCTAATCTCAACAAAGATAAATAGACAGTTTTCCTTTTCAACTTCCTTTATTGAATTTCCAAAGGAAGAACAGAGCAGGGTACTGGCCTAATGTGGGGTTACCCAAGGAATTAGTGTCTTCTGAGTCCATCACTTTTGGAAAAATCTGGAGCTTGTATAATTAACTGAATGGTGGTGAATGTTTACATTTATTCAAGATAAGTACAACACAAATGATTTTTTGGCTCTTAATCATCAGCTAGATGGAAAGACAAAAGAAGTTTTTTTTTAAATCCTACCTGGAAGACAATATATGAGGAAGATAAATGGGTTATTTTTGATAGCAACATTTGTTTGTGAGACACAGGAATTTGGGACATGGGGTTGTTTGTACAAGTTTGAAGAAGACAACGCTTAATGAGTCCCGTTTGCTTCATGACTAAGTTAGTTCAACATTAATAAGACTGTTGCAAAAATATGTTTATAATCATGTCTGTAAACTTTAGAACACCTCTTCCTGTAGAATCCATGTCATAAATGGAAACAGGTTCACTAAAGCTGGCGTATCTTCCATGTGCTGATGTGGGACAGGCAAATCTCTATTTGTTGAGATTAGTCCTAACAATTCTGAGGATCCACACAGACTCAGTTCTAACTGCTTCAGGCAGTTGATAAGCTTGTTTTCCTAAACTTTTCCAAAGTTCTTTGCATTTAAAAATATTTTCAATTCTTCAAATTCCATAAGAGAGAAAACACTAAATTGTCCCCACATTCTTTCTTTAATATTGTAAGGTGTAGCTATCAAGACCTGGTAATCACATAGAAGCAACCACCTGAGGCCTGACCTCTGCCAGGAAATGAGCAGCCAGAGAATTTGAATCTGCATCTCTGAAGGCCATTTACTATGAAGACTTTCCCATCCTCCTTCATAGAATTTACGCATTGCTTACCGTGCTGTTTCTATGTGGAAATGCACAGCAAGTTCTTTGCCCATAAAATTGGAATCAGACTGATACCAAGGGTACCAGTAACTACTGAGCTCACTAGATGTACATCAGAAGAGTCCTCTTACTAAAGCTGCTTAAGAAAAGTAGTTCTATCTAGTAAGGCAAATCACTGTTCTGTTGTTGTGGATAGAATAACTGCTCCTTTTTTCCCTTACCCTTAACACTCAACCACACATCTCACACACACACACACACACACACACACACACACACAGAGCACACACACACAGAGCACACACACACTTGGGTGCCTGAATTTTGACACCTCACCTACCTCTAACATTCCATATGTAGTCACACAATCTTGGAGTATAAATATTACGTAACATCCAAGAACGTCATGAAAAATTTTGAATATTCTTCCTGAAGGCAGCAGTGGAAAAACCATAGCAATCTCCTTTTATGCAAAAAGAAAACAAGAAATTTTTCTAGTGAGCATGTTTCAACTTGTGTCAATTCAGAAGATAGCTAGTTAGAACTGATGAGTCTTAGCACAGGGCAGGATGGCTAGCACTGCTGTTCTGGTTTGGCTCTGCCTTTCTGAACTCTACTATGGAAGAGTAAGTGTTCAGTATCTTCGCTGGAGGAAAAATAGTCGCTGCTCACATCAGACATTTCTTCAAACATAGAACTAAGGCCTGCAATATTTGATTGCTTAAGCTCAATCAGCTTGAAGAACCTGCTTATTGATCTTATACTCCAGCTCAGCGCCCCCAGCAGGGTCTGTTTTTCCTTTACTACATTCTTTGACCTTAATATTAGTGGACAACTCCGCCTGCAGGGTGCAAGCTTTGAAGTATTGTGTCAATCATCTCAAAGCACCTGGAGGCAGTGGAATAGGTCACCCCAAGGACTCAAAAGTTCTTACCACTGGAGGTTGTCAAGCAATGCCCGAGTGATCACTGTGCAGGAATACTGAGAAGAGTATTAAGTATCATATGGGATAAGACTTGACATTTAAAATTCTTTATACTATGAAAAAGCAGAGAAGTCATTGATGTACAGTTATGGAATTAGAAAGGATGCACCCATGTCAGCATTACCTAGATGAATAGTAAAACTTTTCTGGCATTGGAGATGTCCCCTTGACTTCTTTAACTCTTCAAATGTTAAACGTATAGCTACTTTGCACACAGACACTTTGTTAATGCTAAAACGATGTAAGTGAGTTAAAAGAGAGCTTTGCTTTCTTGGAATCTAAGCAGAGTATTGAGAAATTACCATGCTCATGGGCATGTGACACATTTTATCAGAAGTTTTTATTTTATGAGTTAGGTGATATTTTGCCCTTACTTTTTGTTAAAGATGAGAAAATGGAGACCAATGCTTCTGCAGTCTTCTTCAGTCCTTCTTGTATCTTCAATCCCATGATTCCATTTTTCTTTGACTTAAGCTTTAACCTGAGTAGTTCCATAGAGGAAATGTTCATATAAGCATTGAAAGTCTGATTTTCACTTTCTTTGTCAGGCCTCTATAAAACCAAAGTGTGGGCGTATGATCAGCTTCTCATCAGGAGGAGAGAACCCACATGGGGTGAAGGCAGTCACCAAAGGCCAGAGATGTGCTGTGGCTCTATGGTTTACTTTGGATCCACTTTACAGAGAATTGGTGAGTTCCTAATACACCTAGAATGCCAGTTAGACCTGCTTCATAAAATGACCTATCCAAAAATTCCTTTAAGTGGTTCAGTAACTCTTTAGGGACCTAGAAATTATAACATAATTTTTACAGAATTCTTTCTGGCTTGCAACTTGGCACTGTTTTCTAAGCAAGAGAAAGTTCTCCTAATGTGAATCTTCCTAATTATGATTTAGTAATTACACATCTAACTTTTGTAGGGAGACCTGAGGAAAAGAAAAGGGGCTATGAAGGTGAACTCTTAATCACTTGAGTTCTAGTTGTGAAGATGTTTGCAGATATGGGTACATCAGTGATATGTGGCAACCATTAATCAGTGCTGAGCTTATTAACAAAGTATAGCCTCGGGAGAGAAGAATGACTTTCTCCTGCTCAACAAGAAGACCATATTGTTTTGTTTACAAAGCTTTAAAAAGAATATTGAAGACTGGATGTGTTGGCTTACACCTGTAATCATAGCTACTCAGGAGGCAGAGATCAGGAAGATGATACTTCAATGTTTGTCTTGCAAGTTAGTGAGACCCCATCTCAACCATAAGCTGGGAATGGTGACATGCACCTGTCATCCTGCTACATGGGAGGTGTAAATGGAATTGTGGTCTAAGGCAGCCTAGGGGAAAAAAAATATAAGATCCTATCTGAAAAATAACTAAAGCAAAAGGGGAAGAGCCTGTGGTTCACCTGCTGAGCAATCGTGACACCGTGAGTTAGGAAAACCATGGTTCCACAAAAAAAAAAAAACCTACATTAAATAGTTTATGGAACACATGTGGAAAAGACTAGGGGATCTGAAAGATTATGATTACTTATTACAATTATTAAATTAGAAGTTATATTTGAAGTAGCTGAGGATACTTAGATTACACAGAGACCACAGACTCATTCTTTGGGATGCCATGGGGCAAAGGTTATAGTCTGTACCTGTGAAGGGCCTGAATTAAGGCCGTAGGTAAAAGCCCTGGAAGAAAAATTTGGGCTCACTGTAGGAAATAATTTCCAAATTATCACCACTCTTTACTGCAACTGTCTGCTCTGAGCATACTAACATGGAGCTCTGGTCAAGCCCAGGCAATTGTCTGGCCTGCAACACAGAAGATGAAACTGAAGCCTGGCAGAGGTTACACCAATGACTTCAAAATCCTCTCCAGCCCAAGTACTGATGAATCTATGCAATTCTATTCTTAAAATGACATTCGTCTGATTTTCTACTTTAGAGCCCTAAGTTGAATTCTGTTTCACCAGCAACTGCTTAAAAATGTTCCCTTTTTCTCAAATGCTTTCCACCATCAACACTGACTGCTTTTTGCCCACATTCACTAAGCATTCTTTTGTATGTTTACAGATATTTACAGGAGATTCATGATGTGCTTGGGAAACTGTGGGTAGGCCCTTAGGGTACAGATTTGAACAAAAAAATCCCTAACCAAAAGAAGTGTGGAGAGAGCCAAGTAGATAGGAAAGAAGACAGCACTATATGTTTTGTGGTGAAGGAATCAAGAAAAATTTACATAAACTCAGACAAAAGAAAATGAGAGCCTGGCATAGACTTAGGTACTAAGGTAAATTAATAGGTTGTGAAGGTAACTAATTGTGGAAAAATTGCCTGACTATATTAGTGTTAATTCAGCATATGAGTTCATCATTCTGTGTTCATTATTGTCTTCCAACATATTTTTCTACCCTAATAAAGTATCACAAATGAAATTACACTAAGTTCCATGTTCCTTTCTAATCAGGAAACAATGCCAGTGTATCCCCTCTCTAATGAAAAGTACTGAAAAGTCTCCAATCTGCAGGGAATAGCGGCCTCTCGTGGCCACAGTGGAAAATAACAAGAGCCACCAGTAACTAATGGAAAATTTCGCATGTGCTGGCTGTGATTCCCAGACTTTGCAACACATTGGAATCACCTGGGGATCTTTACAAGTTACTATCTTCTGGCTCCCACCTTCGGAAATTCTGAAGTAACTGATATGTGGTCTGAGCATTGGGAGTTTAAAAAGCTCCCCAGGTGATTCTACTATGCTCCAAATATGGAAGTCTCCAGTTTATATGCCTTTTCTCATACTGAATCCTGAGCAAAGAGATCCTGTCACTGAACAAATCATTAGCAGATCCCATTTCTGTTACAGTTTGCTATAAACACACTCAATCCTCAAGAAATATTTAGCAACAGGAATACTTAAGGATACAAAGATATTGGATATATATTCTCTCTCTATATATATATCAGTTCCAGCTCTTGACTTTATTTCCCTTCATGAGAAACTCAGTGATTATAATAGCATCTTGTGGCCATTAGATATGAAAACTTTATTTGTGTGTCAGTTTGTTAAACATTGAGATTGTTCTCCCATATTCATAACATAGTATTTAGGCATGTTTTTAAATGTGATTATTTATTTTTCTATTATTTAATATATTTGATCCTTTTAGTTGCCATTATGTCAATACCATTTTCAATTATAAGCTCTTGCATGAAAGGGGCTTTGTTTTTCAAGTCATAAAATAGTTATTTCTATAACTTGTGGTGCTAGGGACTACTAATAGGGGAGAGAAACTAGAAAAGACATAAGCCCTGCTTTTGAGGCATTTGAGGTCAAATTGGAGAGCTAATGCAGAGGTCCAAGTAATGAAAGGTAAAGATGGTTAAGCATTGTCTGCACAAGTGAATGCCTGGGGATATAAACAAGCAATCAGGATAAGTTTCCCTGGGATGACATTTGAAATAAGCTTTACAAGATGAGTAAGATTTCTTTAGGGAGAGACATTTTCGACATACAAGGCCTTCATCCATGTGTGTATTTATTCATCAATACAACAGAGTCCTTGCAAAATGCCAGTAGCTTTTGTGGGTGCTGAAAATACAGGAGTGATCAAGAAGGTAAAGAAATCCTGTTCTCCAAGAGCTTACATTCTAGAGGCAGGACATAGACAGCAAATAAGTAAAGATGTAAATAATCTGGATATTTTTCAGTAGTAATAAATGTGTGGAAAATGGAGCAAAACAACTGATTTCAAGCCAGTACTGGGTGGGCAAACTATGAAGCCTCTCCAAACAAGTGACATGCAAACTACAACCTGAGTGACAAAAAGAGCCAACTATGATGAACATTGGAGAAGAGCATTCCAGGTTTAGGGCAAGTTGTGTAGGCCTGGAAAAGAGGGAGTTTGGAATAACAAGAAACAAAGAAGGTGCTGGGGTGTAGCTCAGTGTTAGAGCATGTGCTTAGCATGTACAATGTACTGGAATAAACTCCTAGAGATTGGGGGAAAAGAAAGCACATGATAAACAAGGAAGGCAGAGTTGCTGGGACATGGAGTGTAAGAAGGGGAATGGTATGAAAAGAGAATACAGAGAAAGCAGGGGTCACATGTTATAGGTAAATTAAGAAATGTGAACTTTATTCTAACTGGAGAGGCCATCATGCCTCCTATGTGCTTCCCCAGTCTTGAGGAACTAATGGATCCAAAAGATTATTTCGGCTAACATTGGACTTCAAGTAGAGCAATAATTGAGAAGGTGAACATGTGGAGAGTTGGGGATGCAGTTTAGAGGCAAAGCAGTTGTACCTGTCAATGACTGGTGTGAGACAAGAAAACAATAGAGGCTTTAAGGTGAACATACACGCTCTCTAGTCCTGGGAGAATAAGAATGGAGAATTATTATGAGAGTACTGCATTCAGAGATTTTGAAGGAAGTTAGGAAGGTGGATTAGGAGAAGACAACATAAGACTGAAGAAGACCAAAAGATAATCATCTTAAAAGGAACCAAGAAAACTGATCCTGGACATCAAGCAATTGGAATCCATTAAAGGGTTGTAAGCAGGAGAATGGTGTAGTCAGACTTAAGTGAGCAGAATCCATTAGAAACATGTGAGAATAAGGAGTTAAACGAGGAGACCAATCTGGTGGTTTTGGAAGCAATGAGAAGAAATGCTGAAGACCTAAACCTGTGGCAATCAAGAGGGAACACTTGTCCTCTATGGGACACTTGGCAATGTCTACAGACATTTTTGGTTGTCATTACTTAGTAGTATGTGTTATTGGCGACCTGCAGTAAGTAGGGGCCAGGCATCCCATAATGCACAGGATACTACACCTTCCCCTCCACCTGACAAAGAATTATCTGGTCTAAAATGTCAGTAGTGTCAATGTTGAGAAACTCTGGCCTAAATTAAGGTAACAGTAATGTGCCTTAAAGAGAAAGGGGCAGAAACAGAAGACAAACGGGACCAGATGGCTTAACAGATGCTAGAAACTATGGCCAGGCTTTAAAGGCAAGTGGGTGATAGGGATGGCTTTTACCAAGAGAGAAGAATACGTGATGAAGAGAATATATCTGTAGAAAGAGAACAGTGAATTCAATTTGAACACCGAACTGAGTTGGAGATGTGAAGGAGATCATGAATTCACAAGGGTAGAGAGCAGTTGAACATGAGACTTCTTTACAGACCAGAAATCTTAGAAGGAAATTGCTTAGGATGCAGTGATGTCAGGAGAATATACCAGACTGGGATGAAGTGGATTTAATCCTTAGATGGATTTAGCACCACTCCATGCACAGATGGATGCCTGGAAGTGTTCAAGAAGCATCTGCTTCTGCAACAGATCATTGTGCTTGTAACAGAAATGTGTCAATTGTCTTTTTTGCAGGAGCGAATACAGGCTGATGAAGTGATTGCAATTCTGGATCAAGAACAGCAAGGAAAGCATGAAGTGAATATTAACCCTAAAGATGAGCTATGAAAATGAGAGTGTTCTATCAAATATTTATTTAAATTGTTAATCTTATAAGAACAAACTGTTTTATTTTTGTACAGAGCTATGCTATAAATTAACAGGTTGATATGAGTCGTTAGATCTCCCTTCTGCTCCTAAGGACACTGACTGTGCCTTGCTCCTATGTGTCTTGGTTTTTCTTCAGTTCATGTCTCAAAGCCCAGTCACAGCCCCCAAACACACTCTACACACAAACAGACACAGGCATACCACACACACACACACACACACATCACACTCACACACATCACATATATACCAAACACAAGATAAACAGAAACCACATACAGACAACAGCATCACAACACACACACACACACCACCCGTGGATTCCCCACATGATCCTGGTCTGACATCACCTCGTGACCGTCACTGAATGTTCGCGCGACCCCCGCTCATGGTATTAACTGAGACCCGCCCCGACTCCGCACCACGCGCGCATACTCCCTGTTTTGCCTAGGCTTTTAGTACCAGATACGACTCTCCAGACTGCCCCCCCCACCACACGTGCCGAATACCCCTACCCTGTCCACTCCCCACCTCTGCGCAATCTCAGGT